AATCGTGCAATATCCCAGTCTGACTGACGAGGAGGCGTGCGTTGTATGCTTTCTGCCTTTGAACTGCGGCTGACAGTGATTCGTGCTTCTAGGCAAGACTTGGTCTTGGATGCTATGACACCGTTTGAGCTGGATACTATGGCCTCGCTGACGAGAGAGGACTACCAGCAAATTCAACGGTACGCAGAGTCTGGTGGCCAGTGGGCGGTCGTCCCGTGCGTGAACTGTGTTATACCTCCCGTCTCTCTTGCTTACCAGCTTCTGTACAGATCTGGCAAGGACCTCCAGTATGATGATCCAGACCTATGCGGCGAGACTGCAACCCAGATTGGTGGCCATGGTCCTGACATAGTCGACGAGCATGTCGAGTTTCATGTCCACAGCGAGCACTACATCTCCCAGCGCCAAGACCTCGTGGCATCCTCCGCTGAACAAAGCCTCTACTCATGTCATCAGCTGGCCGACATGACTGCGGCATCGCCCGACGACGAGACCCCGTTCATGCATGTTGCAAGCGGTGACAATGCAATCGTGGACCCCGCCCCCTTCGAAGACGATCCGTATGGCAATGTCGCCGCCCAACACATGTCCCTATCAGCACCCTTGACCTACAATCACTTCACTCCCCAGCCATCCATCCTCTACGCCGGGCACGCCGGTCATCTTTCGAACGGTTCTCATACACGTGACCAGCACGTGACTTGTACTTCGGCCCCGACCATGGACGGCAAATACCGCGATGACGCCTCTGCGACAATTGGAGCTCACTCCTGGACCTCGGAAGATGCGGCTGTTCAGGGCTCTGGTGAATCAATGCCCACTACCCTCGCAGTGTCGCAGGTACCAAGCCGGACGCCCGCTCCCGCCCTGTTCCTCTTCGGACAGAACGAGTCTGCCGACTTCAACTTTCGGCAGGAGGTAGGCGGGGTCGAACCTGCCAGTACTTCTATCGAGATATCTGTCGCCGCCTGCTACAACTTCGGCAAGAATGCGCCAGCCTTGTTTTACTTTCCGAGCTGAGATGGGCACGGCCGGGCCCTCCGCGTCAATGGCTGAGGCGTTCTATGGCAAATCTTTGACGAGTGCCCACACCACCACCGAAGAGGCCAAGCCTCAGGGCACCTACTATGTGCCTGCAGCTGCAGAGAGGATGTGAGCTCTTGCGCTTTGCTTATACCATTGCGCATGCTCATGCCTTCTATGCTTTAGTTCTGAGCGATATCTTCGCGGCGCAGAATCTGTTCCCGAGCCTCACCATGCTGACTTCCATGTCCTCCGCCTGGTTGGTCCTGCTTTCCCGCTGCTGTCTACCGTCGAGTCCAATGCGGTTCCGGGCCGTGAAGAGCCGATCGACATGCCTTCCAGCGCGCAACATCAATCTCTTCATCCCAAAGAGCGCTTCGCCCCTTGCGGGAAGGTAATGCAGAAATATCGCGCGCTGGCCGGTAAATACGACATCGCAGTCGAGGAGCTGCTGCCGTACCGGGTATATCACCAGGTTCGGTGCCAGATCGCGCATCCCGACGGTCTCACAAGCCCATGCATCGGAAGTTCTCACAAATACACCGACCACGCCGCTCTGCGTTCCCATGTCATAGACTGTGCCAAGAAGGCGGTCCAGGACTCGGATGGCCTCTATACGTGCCTATGGCCTGGGTGCGAGATCAAGTGTTCAAGCAGGAAGCAATTGTGGGATCATCTGCTGCGCCTGCAGACGCACTTCTGCGCAGAAACGGTGCAATGCCCGTGGTGCGAGATCGAAGCTAACCAGGCGTCCGGCTACATCCCACATTTGAAAAGATGCAAGGTCTTTGAAAGGTATATGCATGAGCGTGAAGAGCAGCGCGAGAGCGCAGCGACACAGGCAGCGGCAGCATCTGGAAGCGGGTCGCAAGAGCCCGCCGTCAACATTCCGTCGCAGTGATCGTCCGACGGTCCCTCTGTCTTTCCTTTGTGCGTGCTCCCATTATACTTCTCGTCTGTTGCCTGATGAGACTTCAGAGTAGCTTGATCTGTTATCATCAAAATGACAGATCTGGTCTTTGCGGAGAGGGGTTATCGAGTGGAGTGTTCCCTCACTTAGGCGTTATGATGCCAGACAAAACGTTTGACGTGAAAAGAATACATATTTCTCAAAGTCAAAGCATATCTAGTACCTATGCACTGTACCTCTCGAGCTGACGCGATGCAACTATGGCGTTAGATTACAACGCGTTCGAATCATTCGCGTCGTGGCCCCTTCGGAACTCCCTCTGGCCTTCCGAAAAGGCGCTCCCTACGCGTGAGACTTTCTTCCATCAGCGTATCATCAGTCTCTGAGCAGTATGTCAGTCTTCGCAAGGGGGCCAATGTGCGTAAGCACTCACTGAACCAACTCTGTGATAGCGACCGATATGCCATGTTCAAGTTTGCATGCCCGGCTGACCAGTCCGGGAAGAACAGCATGGGACGTGTGCACCGCCGGCCCCCTTGACGAAAGGCGACGTTGACTAGAAAAGTCCGGCAGGTCGCGAAATCAAATCCGGGAAACGCCTGCGCACGGTTCGACCATCGCGCGTGCCCGTAGGTCAGGTCTAGGGCAACACTGATACTGTCTTCGCCTTGAAGCGTGTCTCCCAGTCGTTGGATGATCTCCTTGTAAGCGCCTTCGAGATTCACGCGAGCAATGGCGACGAGGAAAGAAAAGGCTTTAGCGCTGAGGACTCCTAGTACGGCATTAATACTAGCACGATGCCAAGAGAGGCCTCTCATGTGCTTACCGTGCACTTTAGTGTCGCGATTACATGTCCTTCGGTGACCTCCATCTACCCAGTGCGCGCGCTGGCACTCGACGGAGCAGTAAAGGACTTCCCCACATATACATGCTCGCATGTCTGTGCTGTCGGGATCCGGGCACTTGATCGTTCAGCGAATTCTGACAAGAGGAACGTATGCGACAGCTGGGAGGACTAACCTCTCGTCTACCGCAGGTCTGCAGGTCAGCCCACTCGGTCTGCCATTTGGTGATAAGCGCGAGACGCTGCTCGCAGCTCAAAATGGTGTCCTTGTCTTGCCTGGTGTACTGCAGCTGCGGCATGCGTCGCATCGAAAGTGTGTTATGGAATCCTCGCAGCGCGGTCGGAGTGGTGAGTGCGCCAGCAACCAAGACCAGCGTTGGGCGTACGACCGCCTCTCCACCAGGAGCTGTACTCATGATGCACAAGTCAGGAAAGATTCCGTGGCGGATGGCGGTCGTGACCAGATGCGCGTCCGTTGAGCTCTCCAAGAACTTCTGCAGCAGGTTACACGCGCTTTCGGCGATATAAGCGCCGCGCAACGGAACTAGACCCGCATGTAAGGCTGCTAGAAGCGACCGTACGATTCTCCTAGGGTATCCGCCTTTGGGGCGCAGTGCAGGCAGGTCGGCAAGCATGGAGACGAGTTGTACGTGCAGGCTCCATATCTCCTGCTCGCTTGCACTACGCGGTGTGAGCGCGAGGAGGTGGTCGATGTGCCCGGCGATGATGCGAAAGATACGATCCGGTCGATTAGCCACGGTAGACAGCATGTTGCGCATGACGATTTCACGTGTCGCTTCGACCATGTAGGGAGCTAGACACGTTTGTATCGCCTCCAGGATGCTGATGAGCAGCTTCCCGGAATTCTCATGCTCGGCGCCGTCTGCTGTAAGGCACAGACCAGGCCAGTAGAGCCATAGTCTGATGAAAAAGCTAGCAGCGCCGACTTCGGGTAATAGCAGGATGGGCTCGAAGGAGTCGGTGGCTAGGTCGATGAGGGAAAAGACGATGGCGTCGATAGACGGGCAAGCGAAGTGATGTAAGAAAAAATCGCGGTCTGCAAGGTCGACTTCGGCGGGCTCAAATTCGCGATTGGGAGTAGACATGTACTCAAGCCATTTGAAGACGTGAGTCCATATACTGTCGTCCGTCCACAGGTTGGCCAAGTTGGGCCGATCGGAGAGACTGCGCAGACCCGTAACACACATGATACCGTCTACCACGTCCGCATAGGTCGGATCTTTCCAGAAGCCTGTGTACGATAGCACGTCTGGGGAGGGCGGTTCGTAGCGCAGAATGCGCAATGGGTCGTGCCTCTTAAGAATCGCCAGTATGATGGCGATGTCGGCTTTAGCGCGAGTGTGTAGTGTGAGTGTCGAGCCGTTCTCTTCGATGGCGAAGACATTCTGTATGACCTGGAGCATCCGCTGTAGGTTCGCATCACGGGGAATACGCGCATGATATCTGGCGTGGACGAAGTTAGACAGGCCGAGAGTTTGCGCAGAGGAGAGGTTTGCTATTGCGTGAGTGTACTCACTTCAGCTGCGGTTCACGCATTTGAGCGACAGAGGTGACTATCCACTTTGGGATGTCGCGGACGCTATGGGTAGCTCCTACACGGATCTAAGGATTGTTGACATGTCAGTCTTGCAACGGGCGGCGCGCGCTTTTTTTCTTCAAACTCACTGCGGTGGGCGACAGTAAAATATACAAGCTCTACTGCCCGTACAGCGTAGGACACGCAGGTCGCGTAGCGTGCGGCCGCTGGTGGAGGCAAGTTTGAGTTATTTCGGCACGCCGCCACAAACAATGCAGATAGGGGCTGGACGTGGTCACATGATATAACTCCTGACGCGATCTAAGTAGTACTACCTATCCCGGTCCGATACAACTCTATGGCGTTTGATTACAACGCGTTCCAATCATTCACAGTGTGGCCCTTTCGCAACTCCCTCTGGCCTTCCGAAGAGGCTCTCCCTACGCGTGAGACTCTCCTCAACCGGCGTATCGTCAGTCTCTGAGCATTACATGTCAATCATCGCCATTTTCGTCACAGGCATTGAGATCTTTGACTTGAGAGCACTGGAAGTCAAAGACAAGATGCGAAAAGCACTGGAGGTCAAAGACAAGATGCGAAAAGCACTGGAGGTCAAAGACAAGATGCGCAAAGCAATGGAGGTCAAAGACAAGATGCGCAAAAAGAGCTCACAGTGAGCAAAAGATTACACCCAAGGGGAGTCGAACCCCTGCCGCTTGCTGACGTAAGCACACGTGATGCGTAACGTGGAAGGCAAGCATGATAACCGCTTCACCATTGGTGTTGTGAATGTATGAACCGGACACAATACTTAGCAGCCCCGTTAATCGGTGAGGCCTGAGGCACAGGTCGGCTCGAGGGCCGAAATGCCTCGTTCTCCTTCACACTGTTCCACAACCACCATGTCGGATCTATACCGCTCAGCAATGAGCGCTCGTCTCGCGAAACTACCAGCAGACCTGCCACCCTCTGCAGAGGACGAAGAGGAGGAGGACGAGGAGAATGATTCGCTGGGCTCTTTGCCCGGGAGTGGCCTGGGTCCCCCAGCGTTGTGCGTCCCTTTGCAAGGCTCCCAGACACCCATCGTCTGATCACACCCCCATAGCAAGGCAAAGACCCCGCGCACGCGAACGAAGCGCGAGCCGAACCCTGCATTCGCACCCATCTCCGCTGCGCCCTTCTTCGCCGACGCGGCGCAGATCGCGGTGCCGAACCGCGAGCTCGACATGCGCATCTACTATACCCCACCCAAGTTCTCGGACGGCACGGTGATGGTGTGCCACCACGGCGCGGGGTACAACGGGCTCAGCTTTGCGTGCTTTGCGAAGGAGGTGGCGGAGATGAGCAAGGGCGAGTGCGGCGTGATGGCGCTCGACGCGCGCAGGCATGGTGCGTGGCCGTGTCTTGTCCGTATACCCTCAAGGCTGACTCTCGTGCAGGGAAAACGACGACGACGGCGGAGAAGGAGGACGAGGATCTGTCGATCGACGTGCTGGTGCAGGATCTCTTCGCGCTATTGACCACCACGTTCCCCGACCCCGCCGCCGCGCCGTCCTTCGTCGTGAGCACATCCGCAGGCGGTTGGTCACTTGGGGGATAACACGATCCAGCTCGTAGGACACAGCATGGGCGGCTCGGTCATGACCCGCGCGTGCCCTCTGCTGCTCGAACGCAGGTATCGCGTCACCGGCGTATCCGTCCTCGATGCCGTGGAAGGTGCTTGCCGAACCCGCCCTACCCTATCCATTACTGACGGGAGCCAACCAGGCTTCGCACTCGACGCCCTCCCACACATGAACAGTCTCCTGAACGCACGCCCGGACGGCTTCGACAGCCTCGAAGACGCGGTCGAGTGGCAGTACGTGGGCCCTCCCACTTCTTTCCATTCTCACTCATTCCTTCGGGCTAGCTGTACCACGAAGACCATCCGCAACGCGCACAGCGCGCGCGTATCCATCCCGCCCATCATGACCGAAGCATCGCCCGGCGGTGTCCTCAAGTACGTGTGGCGCACCCCACTACGCTCGACGGCGCCGTATTGGAGAGGTGCACGCGCCTGTGTGCTATTTTCGCCTGCTTGACTCACGGGTGCTATGCCAGGCTGGTTCGAGGGCCTGTCGAAGAAGTTTCTGGAAGCCAAGACGGCGCGGATGCTCGTACTTGCAGGTGAGGGATTCGATCCTGGCTTGCGAGCGGTGCTCAGCGCGCCTACTCCTCCGCGTCACTCCGCATACACCCCATCCTCGCACCCTACTCATCCTCATCACTCCTCGTACTATTCATCCTCGTCACTTCTCGTACTACTCCTTCTCGTCCCTCCGCATACACCTCATCCCTCCGCATACACCTCATGCTCCCACTACTCATACTCACACCACCCACCAGGAACCGACCGCCTGGACAAGGAGCTCATGATCGGGCAGATGCAGGGCAAGTTCCAGATGGAGGTCGTCGCCGGGGTGGGGCATCTGTTGCACGAGGTGCGTCTGGCTCTCGGCATATGTGCCTGGCTCGCGATGATCTGTGTGCGGTGTCGGTTTTTTTGTATGCTGCGTCGGGGATTTGTATGCTGCGTCGGGGATTTGTATGCTGCGTCGGGGTTTTATATGCTGCGTTGGGGCTTTGTGTGCTGCGTCCGCGCTCAGCAGCGTCTGCGATCTTCAGCAGCTTCTGCACCGCGCCGCGCTATTCCGCTGTGCCTCGCTCTTGGCCATCTTTGTCTGCCCGCCCCTGATGCATATGTTGTTTCCATCGCGTCTTGCTCTTCGTCGTCTTTCGCTCTTCATCGTCATATTCTCCCTTTGCGTCGTCGCCTCCGCTCTCTTCATCGTCGCCTCTGCTCTCTTCATCGTCGCGTCCGCTCTCTACATCGTCGCGTCCGCTCTCTTCATCGTCGCCTCCGCTCTCTCTTCGTCGTGGTCTTGTTTCTCTTCGCCGTTCTCTTCTCTCTCATCATCGTCGTCCTCCCTCTCATCATCGTCAGCCCCCCTCTCTTCATCGTCGCCTCCTCTCTCATCATCGTCAGCCCCCCTCTCTTCATCATTGTCCTGCCTGTCCTGCCTCTCTTCGTCGTTGTCCTGCCTCTCTTCGTCGTTGTCCTGCCTGTCCTGCCTCTCTTCGTCGTTGTTCTCGCTTCACTGCCTATTATCATCATTATCCTCGCTTCAGTGCCCTGCCCTTCACTTCCTTCCTACTGCCCTTCACTTCCTTCCTACTGCCCTTTACTTCCCTCGTGCTTGTGTTCCCGCCATATGTATACCCTTGTATCTCCTTCATGCCCCTCCTGTGTATCTCCTCCAATCATATCATGTGCAACTCCTTCGTTCCCATCCCGTGTGTCTCCTTCATCCCCATCCCGTGTGTCTCCTTCATCCCCATCCCGTGTGTCTCCTTCGTTCCCATCCTATGTATCTCCTTCATTCAATCCTGTCCATCCTTTGCGCCACCCTTCGCATCCTTCGCACACACCCTTTACATCCTTTGCGCCACCCACTAACCGCTGACCGACGCTTGCGCCTCTCACTCACGCTTCCGCCTCTCACTCGCGCTTCCGCCTCTCACTGACCCTTCTGCCTCTCACTCACGCTTCCGCCTCTCACTGACGCTTCCGCATCTTACTCACGCTTCCGCATCTTACTCACGCTTCCTTCTCTCACACACACTTCCTTCTCTCACTCACGCTTCCACCTCCCACTAACCCCCCCTTTGTATCCTTCCTCCCCTCCACCTCTCACTAACCCTCCCACTAACCCACCTCACCCCCCAGGACGACCCAACCCGCCTCGCGGAGATCCACATCGGGTTCTGGCGCCGGAACGAGCGTATGGTGGGGGGTGTGAAGAAGGTTGGGGATATTTAGGCGACGAAGGTTGGGGATGTTTAGGTGTGCCAGGTGTGGGTCAGGGCAACGGCGCAGCTGCTTCATGGCAACAGTATGGATGTGGTATGGTGGGGGTTGGATGCGGTATGGCGATGTGGACGCGGTATGGCGACAGCGTGGATGCGGTATGGCGATGTGGAGGCGGTATGGCGATGCGGAGGCGGTATGGCGATGTGGATGCGGTATGGCGGTATGGAGGCGATTTCCGTGACTCACCCGTAATCTCGACGCAGGGCAACATGTACCAACTAGCTGAGCAACATGTACCAACTAGCTGAGCAACATGTACCAACTAGCCGATCGAATACAATTTATACTATGCAGGTCCTGATGGCTGTCTGGCCGGGTCGCGGAGAGGATGTCCGGTCAACAAGACTGCACATAGGAACAAGGTCAGTCGTCATCGGCTTGTGTACTGATTACAGGCGTTTACATTCGAGATCTGCGTCCATGCTGTTCAAGGCTAAAGCATATGCTCTGCTTAGGCTCGAACTTGGACAGGTTCTGCTCTCGAAGCCGGACAGGTCTGCTCTCGAAGCCGGACAGGTCTGCTCTTGAAGCCGGACAGGTCTGCTCTTGAAGCCGGACAGGTCTGCTCTTGAAGCCGGACAGATTCTGCTCAACGGAAGGACAAGACATTGCGACCACGACATGGAGGAGAACAAGAAACTTACACTCTACATTGCGTTTACACAGAAACAATAATCGTACAAGAGAAGCTACATCTAATACAGGAACAATGTTCGCAAGCCCTCAAGGCCGCGACGCTGCATCTCAAGGCCGCGACGCTGCATCTCAAGGCCGCGACGCTGCATACGGGAACCGCCTGCACCTCGGGAAACGCCTGCACCTCACAGCGTATAGCGGAACTGAAGAGGTATGGTCAGCGTCGTTGCAAGCTACCACAGCCTGATAAAGCTACCACTGCCTGATAAAGCTACCACAGCCTGATAAAGCTATCACAGCTCAAAAAAGCACTCACGTAGGGGTTCTCGAAATCGGTAAGATCTTTCTCGCCGTTGATCTTGCCCTGGCGGATGCGCTCCTCGTCCGTGAGGCCGTCGTTCGCCTGCGCGCGGTCGCGGCGGCGGTTGCGCAGCACGAGGATCGTGCGCCAGGCTAGAGGTAGGTAGTTATCAGCCCTGTGCTCGTTGTTCGACAGCTCGACATAACGAGGCCGTTCAACAGCTCAACCCCAAATACGCTCCACCCAAATACGCTCAACCCAAATGTGACGCTCAACCCAAATAGTACGCACTGGCGATGATGATAATCTCGAGCCCGAAGCACACGACGCAGCCGACGACGCCGGGGATGTAGGTCGGGGCGTCCTCGGATTTGAAGATCTGGGAGCCGACCATGTTGCCGACGCAGTACATCATGAACGTCCAGGACGAGGTGAGCGTGCGCTTTGTGCGGCCGGGGAGGTTGCTGATAATTAGGGCTGAGCGGGGACGCTCGTTAGCATGATGTACACCATCTGCTGTCAAAGGGACACGTACTCCAGGCGAGGAACAGGGAGAGCACGAAGGGGACGGTCATAAAGTACATGCCCCACTTGGACCACTGGACTCGGGAGGGAAGGTGAGTAATGTTCTGGGCTAGCGGGAAGGCCGGGGCGCGCACCTTGGTGTCATCGCGCGTGGGGATGAGCGCCATGCCGAGGAAGCCGATGAGCGGAGGGATGGTGGCAGCGCCCATGATGTAGAGCCGCAGGTTCTTGTACTTGCTGGTGACGATGCCGACGACGATGAAGATGAGGACGGAGGTGACGCTGCGCGGGATGCTGAGGAGGATGGTCTCCAGGTTCGCTGAGGAGCTCGTTAGCGCGAGCATTGAACATACGCAGGACGTTGTGGGACGTACTGAAGCCGAGGTCGTGCACGATGATCGAGCCGAAGGTT